TGTATGGTATCAAATGATTCGGTATGACAAAATAAACAACCATAGTCATGTAGGATATCAAATGACTCGGAATGACAAACAAAACTCAACTATAGTCATGCAGGGTATCAAATGACTCGGTATGACAAAATAAACTCAACCATAGTCATGTAGGGTATCAAATGACTCGGAATGACAAACAAAACTCAACTATAGTCATGTAGGGCATCAAATGACTCGGAATGACAAAATAAACTCAACTATAGTCATGTATGGTATCAAATGATTCGGTATGACAAAATAAACAACCATAGTCATGTATGGTATCAAATGATTCGGTATGACAAAATAAACAACTATAGTCATGTATGGTATCAAATGATTCGGTATGACAAAATAAACAACCATAGTCATGTAGGGTATCTAATGACTCGGAATGACAAACAAAACAACTATAGTCATGTAGGGTATCAGATGATTAATATAATGAAATAAACAAATATAATCATGTTTGGTATTAAATGATTTAGTATAACAAAATAAACAGTTAAAATCATACTTTTGCTGCCATTTTTTTTAAAAATTAATATAATTTTAATCTATTATATCTTATTTTTAATACTATATACAATTCTAAGCGCTAAAATTTACCTTAATTTTTTATACATTTGTCACCATTTTTTTTAAAAAAATAATTTTAATTTATTATATCTTATTTTTGATGCTCTATACAATTCTAAACGTTAAAATTTTTACCTAAATTTTTTTACTTTGGCCGCCATTTTTAAAAAAATAAAAAAAATAATTTTAATTTATTATATCTTATTTTTGATGCTCTATACAATTCTAAACGTTAAAAATTTTACCTAAATTTTTTTTTATTTTGGCCGCCATTTTCTCTATGTTCCCGAAGAGATATCAAAATTTTAATGCATATTTTTATGCTTGCTTTTGATGCTCTATTCAAATTTATACTTAAAATATTTTTTCTTAAAATTTTCTTTACTTTGGCCGCCATTTTCTATATGTTCCCGAAGAGATATCAAAATTTTAATGCAACTTTCAATACATTATTAGTAGTCCTCTAACCGAATCTGAAGTCAGAATTTCAAAATTCGCAAAAAAAATGCTACACACACACACACAAAAAAGGCTCGTATAGATTTCAGAAAACAAAACTTTTCAAGTTTTTTTTGAAAATAAATATTTTTTTATGTCAAATAACAGTAATACAGTCTATTGAGAAATCACTATATTATTATATACTAACTATTTGTGTACTGTATATACTGTATATATCTATATATTTTTTGTGTGTATCTATTAGAGTTGGCAATTATTTTTTTAAAAATAAAATAATACAGAAAATTTATTGTAAATTTTCTATAAACAAATTTCTGTCAATATCAAAATCTTATTATTAGTTTTTAATTAATATATTCATTGTATTTAATTATATTGAACTAAAATAATACATTAGAAATCATTTATATATAAAATTTGACGATAAATATAATTAGATAATAATAATATAAATTTTATAAATAATAATCTCATTAATATACTGTGTGTGTGTGTGTGTGTGTGTGTGTGTGTGTGTGTGTGTGTGTGTGTGTGTGTGTGTGTGGAGTATATTTTGTATATCATCAGTATACAGTAATTTACAATAGATATGGTTAACCCATAGTATAATACTATAAACTTAAAATTTCTATAGAAATTTATTATTGATGATAAGCTTTCCAAAAATAAAAAAATTTCTTATGAAAATTTCTTAGAAAATTTCTATTTTATCCATTTTTCTAGTCTCGTATGTAATTTTGTGGTATATAAATGTATGTTTATCCATTCACCCACTATTATAACAGATAGACACACACACACACACACACACACACACACATTATGCTGTCCACAAAATTATAGTATATTTTTTGACAAAAAACATTTATAGTAGTAGTGCTTGAAAATTATATATATATACTGTAAAGTATATGTTAGACAAGTTTGACAATCATTTTGTATTATAGATAACTGACATGAATTTGTTGTAACAAATCATCTAAAAAAATTTCATCTCTCTCTCTCTCTCTCTCTCTCTCTCCCTCTCTCTCTCTCTCTCTTATCAATAGTTTTCTAACATGTTTTATGTGTGTCCAGACATAGACAACAAGTTTAATATTATTTGTTAGTTTTTTTTATATATTTCTTTATATACAATAAATAAAATATTTATTTTGTGACAAATTTTTTATGCTATGCTACTTAGAAAATAAAATAAAAACAAAACAATATATTGATATACAATCAAGGATGACCAACTTATTATCAAAATAGTTTTATCAAATAATAATTATATACAGGACGCAACCTGTATTTAGGGGGGGGGGTGGTCACTTTAATATTATAAATTATTTATAAGTACAGTATATCATATATACAGTATATATGGTCGTAAAGATAATAATAAATTACTAATTTATACTTATGTTAAAAAAAATATAAAGCTTAATGTTTCTGTTATCGACCAAATAAAATATATTATATAATCGTTTATCACTAATCATAGACTCTCTCTCTCTCTCTCTCTCTCTCTCTCTCTCTCTCTGTCAATGTGTGTGTGTGTGTCTAATATGAGTTTAACTATTGAATTATAAGTCAATTAACAGACAATTCAAATGGTCTTTAATAAAAATCTAAGAGTATTATTATTATTATTATTATTAGTGTATTAGTATATTAGTGGCAATAATTTTAATCGGACTGAGATTTTTGTTGATTGTGTAACTGTTTTAATGTTTTTTTTATTATCATTTTTATTGTTATTTTGTATTTTTTTTGTTTTGGTTTTTTGTTTCTCACTCTAATCATTGAATTATCAATACTAACATTGAATTCACTATTACTACTACTTTTATCTTACTTTTATCTCTCTCTCTCTCTCTCTCTTTCTTTCTTTCTCTCTATTGTTAAGCACCTGATTTGAATTCATAACAAAACTTACACCAATAATAATAATAATCTAATAATTTATTGCATTATATACTGTATAGTAATATACCCGTATAATAATACTACCAATACTACATCTACAACTAAAATATTATATATTAACTTAAATGTGGTTTATTTTCTTATGTCATCAGAAAATATTAAAAAAAAATAAAACATAAAAATAAAACACACAAAAAATAACCAAAAAAATATGATCTCTACATGAAATGTGAATTGTATAACAAACAAACAAACAAACTATATATAACTTATATTATATATATATATATATATATATAAACTACAAAAAACCATGTATAATACTATCACCTCTAAACTATAGTTTATATCATAAATATATTTAATATCTAGAAAATAAAATAATATAAAAAAATAATCAAAAAGTATAAGAGAAAAAATTGAAAAAACTAAAAAAAACTAAAAACATGAGATTATTTTATCCATTTATGTTGTTGTTGTTGTTGTGGTGTTATCTCTAAGATATGTTGTTTTTTTTCTCTCAGTAGTCTAAATGTTATTACAAATATTATATAATACTTTAAAAGTATAGCCTATAACTTGTTATTAGAGTATTATTATTTATTTTATTTTTTTTGGTTTATACACTAATAAATCTATTTATATTTAATTTAGAGAGTATAGTAATCGTACAATAATATAATAATTTATATGATATAAGAAATATTAATAAGCAAACAATTATTTTAATTATAACACAAACAAACATACACACACACACACACACACACACACACACACACACACACACACACACACACACACACACATACATACATAGACACACACATACATACACACACACATACATACACACACACATACATACACACACACACACACACACATACACACACATACACACACACACATACATACTTACATACTTACATACACTAAACATTCAAACACTTATACGATAGAGATATAAAATAAGCAAAATTCAGATAACATTTTTGATATAAGAAACCTCTCTTTCTCTATCTATCTAATAATAAATATACAGTAATATAAGTTAATATTTATATAAATTTATATATCACATAAATGTCGTGTACTGTACACAAAAATATTATACAATATACTGTATTAATATATTTTTATCTATCTATCAATCTATATAAACAATATATCCTATAATTTATATATATATTGTGTGTATATATATAGTACAATACAACTCAAGTGATGATATAATTATTAGCACTGCCATCACTACTACTACTCCATTAACTGGCGATTAGATTATCGATAAATTACTACTACTTTATGTTATTTTAGATGTTTACCAAAGTTTTGTATTGTTGTTGATATAGTTGTTGTTGTTGTTGTTGTTGTTGTTGTTGTTGTTGTTAATGTTTGATGTTTTGTGGTTATAGATAAAATAAAAATATAGTTTTTTTGTATTATCATTTTTTTGTTTGGTGTCATCTATATATGTATAGATATATCGCTGGTACAGCAAAAATCTAGTTTAATAAATTATTATGAGTGTGTRTGWGTGTGTGTGTGTGTGTGTGTGTGTGTGTGATGTTGATGATGGTTGTAGTAATAATGCTATATTACTGTATATAATATTATATATATTATATATATATAAGATAAATACAGCACCTGCTGTACGTGTATAGTATATAATTTTATTTGTTTTTTGTATTATTTGTTTTTTCTTTTATTTATCTTAAATTTGTATCCAGGTAACATTTCTGGTTAATTGAAATTTGCTAAAATTATTTATGACAACAACAACAACAACAACAAAACAAATAGAAACTATACTGATAATAATACTTATAGATAATAATAATAATTATTATTTTTAATGTATTAATAATATTGGAAACTTTAAGTATAAAATTTAATTTAATTTATCTTTTAATTAATTAATTATTTATTTTTTAATGATATTATTTAATAACTTCAATAAAACAAAATACATTTTTTTTTATAAATATTAATATATAAATAAATTATATATATAACTAATGTTTTAAATATTATTACAATAATATTTATTGTTTGAATCAATATGGCCCGGGGCAAAAAAACAAATCAAACGATGTTTGAGGATTACCGCCACACGAATACAAGCTACCTGTTCCCTCATAGATCGGATCCAATGTATACATATTGGGACAGTGTCCATGAAACAGGGCCGGGTAGTTTTTCTTGAATTTGCTGGCATCGCATATACCTTTCTGGACAAACGGTGGCCGACAACAGTAGTCATCTGTATTAAACTTACGACACGGACTCTGACACCCGATAATATCGGTACCACTAAGTAATGCCAACTCCTGGGGACAGTATGTATTCAGATCAGTTGTACAGCCATTCCACGAACATCGGCTACCGTTAACAGTCATCCATGTATTGGCAATGGCATTGATACTGATGGGTAGATTATAGCCATCGACAATCGATACCGAATATTTGTCTAACTGTCCACGTGAACCGCTAAAATTGAACACGGCTTGAGTTGCCGATCGGGTATCGGGTGTACCGGTCAGGCATTTTGATCCGGTTTTGTCCAGACAACCAGTTCGGGCCCATATCTGACCCGACCAACCCATCGGAATTGTCAAATCTATTTTCTGGCCAATCGCTAGCTCGTAGCTATCGTTAATTTTCTGGCCAACAATACGCGGCCATACGGTACTTAGACAGTGATTGTGCAAGGTTATTTTGCTGGACACTGTAGTAGTAGTAGTAGTAGTATAGCAAACTGGTAACAACAATAGGCCGGCTAACCATATACTACATGATATAATATTCATGATTAATATATTAATTACTTTTTTTTATTTTAAATCAAAAATAATTAGATTTATAATTAATTAGTTAAACTGTTTTGAGTTATTTTTATTTAATTTTTTAGTTGTTTGTATTAACAATATTACTAATAATGATAGTTAAAGTAATAATACTTAATATTAAATACAAAAAAAAAAAATAAATAATTGATATTATATTTTTAGATTATTTGCTATAATTTTTTTTTAGTTAATAAATTTCTATTTCAAGGTTATCACCGTGTACATTTTTTCAAAAAATACAAATGTTTTTTTTTGTTACAAATAAAATATATGGTTTTTTAAAAATATTAATTTTTTTAAAAAACAATGATTATGTTTATATCAATTATTTATTATAATAACAAAAAAAATTATGATAAATTTATTGATAATAAATAAATATTTCTTTATAAATTTTTTTATACCATTTTTCTAGAAAATAATAGTATATTTTTTGTTGATAACCTATTACTTAGACACTACTATAAAATAAATAATTTATTACAATTTATTTCCAGTATATATTCAATATATTATATAATAGTTGAAAATTTTGTCGACACTTTGTCAAAAAAAAATTTACAGTCAATTTTGTGTTCAAAAAATTCAAATCATTAGAGACTATAACAAAATAACTTTTATATAAATTTTTTTTATTTTTTTTTATTTTTAGATTACTGTTTATAAAATGTCATATATATATATATTAAATGATAGATACATATTTATTTATTTATTATTATTTTAAAATAATTTAATGTATTAATTATTGTATAAACTACTACTGTACTAAAAAAATACATAAATTACCGCTAATTACTGATACAATGCATAATGTATTTAAAAACAAAAAATTAGTTTTACTACATATTTTAAAATACATTTTAAGGTATAATTTATAATTTGAAAATATATATAATATTAATAAATGATTAAATTAATGAAATCAAAATAATAATAATAACAATAATTACTGGTATATAATAATTTTAAATAAAAATACATATCAATCAAAAAAATTATAATAATTGTAAAACAATTTTTTTTTTTAAATAAAAATCAATATAATTATGATTTCAAGCAAACAATTCATTAATATAATAGTAAATAATAGTAAAAACACATTCAATCTGATAAACAAGTGATAGCTTTCATCAATCGTTTGGACAGTTGGTTATCCATTGATAGGAAACCGTTTGAACGGCAAATATCTTTAAGATTTTCGTTGACAAACTCGATACACGATTTTTCCAATCGGCTATCGCCGCCGGCAATGGCCGTCTCGTATATCTGGCAAACGTTTTCAACAATAATCGTTGTTTTCTGCCGCTGCTGACCACTGCTACTATTAACGGCTGCGGCGGCGGTAATCTGTTGGCACATTAGCTCCAATTCGGGCTCATCATACATAGTGGCCAACTTTACGATGTCCGCACAGGTATCCAGAGTGATCTCTGGCTGAATGGCATACAAAAACTGTATGAACGCATAGAAAGCAGTATACGAGTAGCTCTTAATGTAAATCAGATGACCAGAGTTGCTGTTGTGTTCAAGATATTTGTCGCATGTCTGCCAAAAACGTTTGCTTCGGATCTTCAAAACTGTTTTATGACAATAGATTAGTTCGCCGGTGAAGACAAATACCAGATCATAGTTGTTGCTATTGTTGAATGCGGCCGACAAGTGACGGCCAAATATGGCCAACGATTCGTTAGCAGTCAAACCGTTATTGGTGTCCTCGGTTGCTGCCGACTCAGCCACCGTCGATGATAAGCCATTCAATGTGACCGTCGAGTCCGTACGTGACCTATGGTTTCTGTTGTCTGCAAAGCCGTTAACCGAAGAATCTCTGTCTGTTGTTGTCGTTATTTGACTAACTGTCCGCTTCTTTGGCACCAAATTATCATTAATATCGTTGCTATGCATTAGTTTCTCGCCATTTATCGATTGTTTGAATCCGTTTTCTTTGTTGTTGTTGTTTGTCATTACCGCTGAAGACGCAACAGTTAATCTTGAATTGTCTGATGCTTTTGTCTGATTGAAGACAACCGACCGAAACGTACGAAAACTTTGCGAATATTTAGTATAGATATCGTAAATAGTGTTATCCGATTGGATATCAGTTTTGTGAGGATAGGCCACCTTTTTGTAGTGATAGGGATAACCCCAACAATAATAGGTACCGTCGCTGGTCAAACCAAGCGAACAATTATTATCGTAAGTGCTGACAATATCGCGCCACTTGAACTTCGGGCAAACCTGATAGGGGGTGAACTGGGTTTTCTGAGTGCCGTTACCGATCTGACCCCAATCGTTCAGACCGAACGAATATAGCTGGCCATCGGCGGTCAACAGCATCGTATGATTAGGTCCGCAAACGGCCTTAACAAATACAGTGGTCTCGAAACCGGCAACAAGTTCGGGACGATAGGACAGTGCCCGCTCTTTGCCGGCCCGGACGTCGACGTCCCGATGGCGGCCCAGTTGTCCGAAATCGTTTAATCCCCAGACGTAGACACGACCGCCAGTGGTCAACGCCAACGAATGGCATTTGCCGCACGATATGTCCCGAACCGGTTCGTTCAGCGCTACTCGAGTCGGGAAAACACGCCAACAGTAAGTCATGTCGCCGATCTGGCCAAACGTATTGCGGCCCCAACCAAACAGTTCGCCATCGGTGGTCAACGCTAGCGAATGTCGATTACCGCAACTAACGGTCACCACTCGTTTGCTGGCCAATCGTTGAATAAGTTTCGGCGTATGGGTGGCATCAAAAGTGCCGAGACCTAGTTGGCCAAAATCGTTTTCACCCCATGTCCATAGTTGGCCGCCGGCCGTCAAGGCTATACAGTGACCAAAACCGTAGTAAATGTTCGCCACTTGTTTGCCGCACAGTTCGGCCAATGCAATCGGTTCGCTAATCAATTTGTCCCAACGGCCGACACCGAGACAACCGTAACGATTGTCGCCCAAACCGTAGACTTGGTCGTCGGTGGTCACACATATTGTCGAAGTACCGCGTTCGCCAAAAATGGCCAACACTCGCAAACGTTGGCCAATTTCGGGCCGCGTGACTATCGGTTTCAATAGTTTCAGACACGATATAAACTTCAATGAATCCAAGCCAGCAATTGTTGCTGTATTTGTGGCCATTGTATCGGTCGGTCGGTCGATAGTCACCCGTATTTTGTGGCCAAACAACAAACAAATAATTTTTTTTAAATATAACTTTTGATTAACTAATTAATTGATTGCTTTGTTTTGTTTGAATAACTTTTTTTTTATTGATTGTGTGAAAAAAGCATTGACTTTATTGACTGTATGTGTAAATGTATTGCCAATAATAATAATAAAAATAAATCATACTTTCTATGCATAGGCCACTCATTCAGATTGATTTTTTTTAAAAAACAATTTGATTTTTTATATATTTATGTTTAAAATACATGTAGTAATGCGCTACCCCTTTAGCTAACATTTGACTACATAACAAAGTCATAGTTTTTTTTATTTATTATATAATTATTATTAACTTAATGCATGGTTTTAGTACACACACACACATACACTAGTCTAATGACTAGAAGTTAAAATTTTTGTTTTTTTATTTATTCATGTTTTTTTAATGTCCAATAATTTCTCTCTCTCTCTCTCTCTCTCTCTCTCTCTCTCTCTCTCTCTCTAAAAAAATAATTAACTATTTAATAATTATAAACTATTTATAATATTTAAAAATTAAATTTTTATTTATTTAATTATGCATCTAATTAAATAACTACCGATATATGTATTACAATGTATTATATGATAACATTTTCAGTATAACCGGTAATAATTTTGTATATAATAATTCGTGTTTACTATAAAACAATATTATAAATTATAATTATAACTTATAATAATTATTACACAAATACAGTAATATGATATTACATGTAAACTAATTTACCGTATATTTAGAGTAGTGAACACAACATATAAAAAAAATTAAGTTCAGGGTTCAGTTAAACCGTACAAATAAATTACTGGTAATTATCTGTTTAAATAAAGTTTAATTATTTAAAAAAAAATTATTTATCTATAAAAATTATTGGAAATAAAACACACATTTAAAAATCAAACAAATAATATACCGATAATTATCTTATATACGGTAATAATAATAATTATTACATTTTTCACACAAACAAACAAAAACTTGTAATCAATTTACAAAATGAAATATTTATGAAAAATATTACACAAAAAAAAACAAGTATTACTACTTAAAAAAATAATTACCGGTACCGGTAAATGACAATTAAAAAATCAATGTATGAATGAATGAATAATAATAATACTAATAAAAGTAAAATCAATTGTTTGTTACAAATTATAACGAAAATTAACAGAAGTTATGAACCGTTTGCTTAGTTCGTCGTTCATATTCTGAAAACCATCGGACAAACAGATCTCTTTGATATGATTGTTGGCAAACTCAGAGCATCGGAGCTCCAGTTCCTCCTGTCCATCGTTGACGGCCTGTTCGTATAGACGACAAATGTTGTCCACTGTTATCGGCGGTGGTAGCGACGGTCGTTGCTGTGGTGGCAATGGTGGCGGCAATCGATAAACGCGACAATCATTACTAACGTTACGGCGGACACCAGCATCACTATTATCATCTCTTTGGACGGCAACACAACGGTCACGTAGTTGCTGTTCGCCGTAAATAATGGCCAATTGTGCCAATTCGGTGCGTAATTGGTCGTCATTGTCGTCGATATCTGGTTCCATACCATACAAGTACTGTACGAATGACCGAAACGCCCGATACGAGTAGTCAGTAATGTGTATTTCGTTGGCAACGGCACCGTACGATCGTTGGCCGCGCAAATGTCGGTCGCAAAACTGCCACAGTTTCGGATTGCGTAACATTAGTATAGTTTTGTGACAATAGATAACCTCTTCGGTGTTACCGTCGTCTTGATTGTTGTCATTGTCTTCATCGTCATCGGCGCCGGTATTGAACACAAATACTAAATCATAATCCGATTGGTTGTCAAATACGAGCGACAATTGTCGGGTAAATATATTGATGGCTATTGAATTTGTGTCCGCTGTGTTGACTGCATCGCCGCCATCAATATATATCCGATTATGATGGCCATCGCGCGGCTGCTGTCGGTGCGGAACACTACCAATGGCGGCGGCGGCGGTGGACATCTGTACGGATAATTGATTGATTAGACGGCAGTTGTTTTTTGTGGACGTTTTATAACTTACATTTGACCGCCGCTGACCACTACTACTACTACTACGGGTATTAGTCGATGACATTCCGATCAGTCTTATCGTTTGGTTTTGTCTATCGGTTGACCGCCCGAAGCCGTTATCCAAACACAACGATAGACAACAATAATAATAATAATTAATAATATATTTTCAACAAAACAATGTATTTTCACAGTTTGTATTGTATTTTATGACATCACGTGTTTGTGAGAGAGATAGAGAGTCATAGACTATAACATTATATGCAATAACAATACTAATCATACATTGACTTTATGTTCACACACACACACACAGACACACATGTCTATTATACATATTATACATATAGTTTATAAATTGGCTTCAATATTGAGCCCCTGAATGGTCACAGAAAAATAATTCACTGTAAATCAATCTCTAGCTTTAACTATGGAATTGTTTGACAAATTGAATCATTGATTGTCATCTATACTGTATTAATATAACTCTGTTGAGTCATACATATACACTGTGTGACCAATAGTTTAAATCAATAAAATTATAGATTAATATAAATACAGTACTACTGTACTGTATATTTTGAAACATATTTATCACTAAACAAACACTTATTATTATTAACAGTATTTTTAATGCATTTTTATTTACTAAATGATTGATTGATTAACTGTTTGTTTGTTTGTTTGACACAAACAATAACATTAGTGACGACACAAATCATACAATTTTATTGTTTTTTATTGATTTATTGATTGATTTTTTTTTGTGTTGAAAACCAATGCCTCGGTATTTGGGAATCAATTTGTTTATTCACGCGGCTATACATCGTAACGAATACGGCGGCGATAGTGGTGGTGGTGGCCATCAATTAGTTGATGATAAACTGGTGGACAACAACAACACAAAGATAACCGATACCGAAGTAATGACGGCTGAAATAGTCGGCGGTGGCGGCCATAGTGGTGGTGGTGGTGGCCATCAATTAGCAAACCAAAAATCGGTGGCCAATAATCAGTTGGACAACAACAACAACATTACCGATACCGAAGTGATGACAGCTGTCATAGTCGTCGGCGGCGCCCGAGTAGACTTAGATAATATTGATGATCATAATTATCCTAATTGCCAGCCAAACGCAAATCGGCCACCAATTGGCAATCCCGAGACCCGGCTATCTTCGCTGATGATGACACAGATGTCATCGTCACGCTATTCGCCGTCGCGATTGACACTTACCGGTCGTCACCGGCAACAGTCGAAACACTTTCGGACACCATTGACTACCGAATCGATCGATGAAATTGTTCGTAATGTAGTGTCCGGTATGAGTCAGCCGACGTCGTCATCAAAGTTACCGATTGTTGCCAACAAATCAGTTGTCCGACCAATTGATAGACAACAACAACAACCAGTGGTTTGGAGTGGCGTTGACTGTCTTAACCAACAAAAACAAGAAGAAGTTAATCGATCGTTGAGTTTCTTACGTAACCAATCAATTGATGTCAATCGACGTTCATCGTCATCCATGTCGTCGACGATAACATCGTTGACACAATTATCACAACAATTGATTGGTCACTCATCGTCGTCGTCATCTTCATCATCAACACCAATGTTAAGTGTCAGTCAAAGCTTTTTAAGTCAATCGCAGCCGTTGTCAATGGCTGTCAAAGACAACGATCGACTAGTAATTAATAGAAAAATTATTGACGAAAATGTGGTCAATAAGGCCACAACTGCTACTACAACTACTGTGCCGTTACCGCAGCCGCCGACTATAATAGATGTTAAGCCAATAGACGTTAATAGAAGATCGACAGTTAGTGACGATGAAAGATATGCCATACCAAAGCTGTTTGGTTTAGCCGATCGTTTAAGACGATTGCGCGATACGACAACACCAGTCGCACCAATGGGCGGAACAGAAAATCTTGTGAAGACAACATCGGATGTCCAAAAGGAAGCGCCGCCACCGCCGCCGATAAAGAGGGTTACTTTTGCCAATGATAACATCATTATCAACAATACCAATACTATCGATACCAACATTCAAGACAATAAACAAAATTCAATTGTTAGCCAATTGGTTCCCAAAGAGAAAGAAATGGCCAATAATTTTAATAAATGTTTGGCAACGAAGAGTTATAACAAGAACGTCAAGAATGAATCAGTGATGTCAACAACTACAACAACAACACCAACAATGAGTGGACAACAAATGTTTGATATCATTGGACACATGTATAAGCAAACAAACAATACATTACCGGTTAGTAGTAATACCGGTAATTATCGATCATATGGTGATTTAAGACCACAAACAGCTATCAAACGACAATCAGTTGTGCGGCGGCTGCAACAACAACAACAGCGTCGGCCACCCAAACGTCAGCACCAATGGATAGCCGCTAATACCAACAAAAATAATAAGACCACCGCTGATGACGACAATCGTATCACTAGTAAATACTTTATGAAAGTTAAACAGGTACGCAATGGTAATGATGATAATGATGATGATAACTCTAGTGATGAAGATATTAAGATATTGGAACCAATTGATGGTTTCATTACAAGCGGCAGTGGCCGAGCATTGACACCGAAAGTGTTTAATCGTATCGATAAATACAACAAATTTTATCGAAATGAGGAATAATTTATAATTAGTTTTCTAATAATTAGTTTATTTTGTAAATTTCAAATACTTGACTAATAAGTAGTTAATTCATTTACTATTAATTATTTAATTGTTATAATTTGTCATTTTTTCATATTTTTTTGTTGTTTACTATATGTTTTATAATTTGTTTAATTATTGATTTTTAATTACCAATAGTTTTTGATAAGTTATTGATAATTTCTATAAATTTGTTTTTGTCTCTAATCTTATTGATTATTTAGATACCGTAACTTGAATTTCATACTTATTTGTAAGCTATAGATAACCAAAACAAAAAAATCATTACCTGTAAACTTTTATAGTATTTTTTACTAAAATTAATCAAAAATTTTATTTAACAAATAATTGATATTAAAAAAAATTATGATAAACATATTGACACTTATAAAAAAATAATAATGTTTTATTCATAAATTTTATAATAAATATTTTTAATACATTACATTACTAATAAGAATATAATAATATTTTAAATTTAGATTTTTTTAAAAATAAATTTAATTAAAAACATTTTATGCTGTTTACGCTATTTAACTATTAATTAATTTAATTAAAAAAATAATTAAAATTCATTTAATATATATTTTACTATAATTAATAATTTGTTTTCTATAAGTATAGTTCATATTATTCAATATGTGTTTTTTATTTATTTTTTATGAATTGATTTATTGATTAATATTATAATAATAAATTGAATAATACTAATATTAATTATTATTAAAAAAAATGGCTCCCATTATGCTATTATCATCATCACTGGCGACAGTAATAATAATATTATTGACAGCCATTGATATACATTGTGTAAAACAACAACAACAACAACCTCAACCTCAACCACAACAACATCCCTGTCCTTGTTTGGCCACAAATGGATCGGTTAGTAATCATCCAACGGTCATTACTAGCGAGGAATGTGCCAAATATGATGGCATTTATTATAGCCAAATACACCATAAATACCGGTGCCAGTGCTGTATATTATATAAAAGTTTGTTCAATTTAAATACTAATAATTATTGTTATATATATATATATCGTTAGATTAATTTTTTATTTTTATTATAATTAGTTAAAAATATTTTTTTAACCAACAAAAATCAATAAATTATTTATTAATATTTTTTGTTTTACAAAAACAATTTTTGTTTTCAACACTACTAAGAGCTGAATGAAAGTTGTAAACCCACTGACCATCACAACAAACAACTGGTGGTCCGCTGCGACACTGGCCTACAGTGTACTGTTGGCCATCAGCAGGTGTGCATAGGTATGGGATATTTTAGGTTAAATTTTTTTTTGTATAAAATATAAATTTTAAATTAATATTCAATCGGGTTTTATCACACACACACACACACACACACACACACACACACACACACACACACCTGAATACGTCCCTCTCCACCCACACACACCCCCCAGAGAAACCACACGTTGAGATCCTATTGAACGAGTCGCTGATGAAGCCGCGCAATGGTAAGACATTTAGGGAACGGCTAAACCAAATGATACGATCGATGTTTGTGTGCGATTGCGGACAAATCAAGTGCAACGATGAGATCACCCAACAAGAGTGCCAGGAGTTTAGGGGATTGTTTGTCGATAAACTAAGTCAGACCCAGGGCTGCCAGTGCTGCGACAGTTGCATAATATCGAGAGGTACTACTACTACTAATACTACTACTACCCAAACCATATACCATATCCTATCCTATCTAATGTTAATAATAATATGTATTTTTTTCAATATTAATAACTTTTGTAAAATAATAGGTCAGTACGAAAAGTGTGGTAATCTAATCAATCGTAACATACAGTTTAACTGTGACACTGGTCTGGTATGTCATCCCTACAAACGTGTTTGTGTCGGTAGGTGTTAAATAAACAAATTTTATATATATATATAACTTAGTTACCCCTTTCATGGGGGAGGGAGGTAGTCAATCGATAAAATACTTATATTTTATTTATTGCTAACTAAAGATAAAAGCGAATTATATCCATCAAAAAGCCAGGGGATAGTCAAGGCTATGGGTTGGGGAGATAGTGGAGGACTAGAAGGAGATGACAGGGAAAGAGTACAGGGATTAAAACAACGACAACAACAACAATCGCTGATCGATAGTCAAGATAAGTATGACAACATGGATGACGATGTTGTCAATGACAAGTATGGCTACAATGGCAATGACGGCATTGGCGCTGCCGTCGGTGTCGACGACATGTATAGCGGTGATCGTCGTCGACCACTATTACGCCGTCGTAAACGAGATGACTCGTCGGCGGCGGCGGCGGTCAGCGAGTCGTCCGATAATGTACAACAAGAAAATGGCCATAGTACCGATGAAACATCGGCGGCGGCCGCTGCGGACGAACATCTTTCGACTACCGAAGCCGGCGATGTGGTTCTGAAAGAAGCGCAATCATCTGATACTAGCGAAGCCGCTGTCGCTGCCGCTGCCGGCGTCGGAGGCGACGGAGATGTGGCCCTTAAAGAACCGGCACCTGTCGACGAAGCTACCGAACCCGATGCCATATTGATGGCTACCGATCCATCGCGTAAGTCGTGGGACACACGACACAGTGTACACCAATCGTTGGCCGCATTTATCAAAGCCTGGAAAGAGGATATCGTTAAGGGAGCCAAACAACTAAGCCATGAATTGGAAACTATAGCCAGAACAGGTATCAATTAATCAATCAATCACACTAACCTAACTAATCCCTACCTACTAGTGCCTACCTATTAACCACTACCTAATAACCACTACCTACTAATGCCTACCTATTAACCCCTACCTACTAACCCTTACCTACTGACCCCATATTTTTTTGTATAATACCCTGTATGTCCCTAACATTAAACTACTTTTTCTCTCTCTCTTTATCTATCGATTACAGAGGCGCCGGCTTCTGATGACAAACGGTATGTATTTAAAAAAAAATATTTTTTGATAAAAATATTATTAATTAATTTAATTAAATTATAATTTTTTTGTTATAGAAAAAATATTCCCAAATAATTTTCTACAATAAATAAATATAATATACGATATGTGTATATTTTTTCTATATATTTATTTACTATAAAAAAAATAATATTATATTTGATTTGATTTTATTTGATTTGTATAAATTACTTATTAAACTTTATATTTATTTTTTAACGAGTTTAATTTTTTTAAACACAATTTTTTAATTAATAAATTTTTTTATTTTTTAACTACAAATTAACTACAAATTGGCAAAAATATGTAATAATAAATATTATATGAATTTAAAAAATATGAATAAACTAATAAATCAACAATTTTTAATTTTGAAAAAAACTAAAATAATTATTAATTAAATTTCATTTCTAATCTAAATTACTAATAGCATCTGATTTTTTTTAAATTTCAAATCCAATACAATATTTTTTTAATTATATAATAGTATCAAAATATTTATCATAGATTTGTATAAAATTTTCAAACAATTGTTTCAATTGGTAGTCATCGGCAGATATATCCAAACAATGTTGTCTTAATATCTGTAGTTCCTGTTTGACAAACCGTTTGCCTTCAGCGCAGATATCCAGCTCGTCGTACACCTGCTTAACCAGTTGGACAGCGCCTGTTGTCGGGTCGTCGCCGCCGCGGCCATAGTTGGCCTCCAATACTGTACGCTGACTATTGTTGGCCAATTGCATGGACTTGATAATCGGCCAGGTGCACTTACCGTCGGCAATATCAGTACTACTATTGTCATCGGTGTCCAAATTTGTCAGGTCGTCCACTATGACGACCAATGTGTTAAACTCGGTCAATACGTTGCCGATAGTGTCCAAGTGGTCGTACGCTATACGTCCCGATGCATACATACCTAGATATATTATTATTATTATTATTATCTAGTTAATTTTTTTGTAATTAAAAATAATAACCTAGCAAAAATGAGTTGATAACAAAATGGCCATCCTTATATTTGTAGATCAATTTGTATCTATCATATGTATAGGTGTCCTCCAAATTGACATTGTGATTGCTAGTACGGGTAGATTTTATGTTCATCAATTGACCCAGGGCTGTTTTTTCAATGCACTTTTTAAAAAATTAAAATTAATTTTTAATATTAGTATTTTTTATTATTATTATTAATAATAATAAACACCAAAAAACCTAATATTATTTAAATATTTATATAACAATTTAAATAAAAATAATTTTCTAAAAAAATAATAATATTTAATATATAATACTTGTTGAATGCAATGAACAATATTCAGATAATTTGGATGATCTTTAAAATAGATGTCTATTATATTGAAAGCACCCGACAATAGGATTGTACTGTCGTTAAGGGCCGACATACCGACATCGGGCTAACAAAAAACAAAAACAATTGATACAAAAATATAATAAATTATAAAAAAATAATAAATTATTTGTTTTTAAACAGTATAACTAATACAGTAATTGTTGATTAGTAGTATACTATACTAATACTAATAGTATATACTAATATTTATGTAAAAATAATTTATTAAATAAATTAACTATTTTTTTACCAAAGTGTGCCAACAGGGCTGTCCATCGCGGCTCGCGGTACCGTCCATGACATCGCCCAGCAAATCAAAGTGGACAGTAGTCAATACTACAGCCCAGGCCAGTGCATAGACCCGCGGCTCGAACTGACGGTCGCCAGGTTTTCGATCCGATAGTACACTGTAGGCGGTAATCAGTATTTCGGCAAAATCGTCAAATTCCCGACGACGGACAACATAGTCGTACATTTGTTTCAATGATGACCGCAATGTTTGGTCAATATCGTCGGCTAACGATTCGTCTAATACGTGATCGATGACCGTATCAAACATTGCCCGAAATTCAGCCAATGCTATGTCAATCATTTCTTAATTTATTTATTTAAATAATAATTTATTTATTTTAATCAACAACAACAACAACAAATAACTTTTAATATTAACTGAATGTTAATTTTTTTAAACAAATATTATTATTTATAAATTTATAATTTTCTAACAATTATTAATTTAAAAAAATTTTTTTTTATTACATTGAGCTAAATAATTTTTATTAAACATGTATTTGTATAAACATATAAACATTTTAATAAAATATATAAATTGTAAATTTTGATAATTTATAATCAATGGTGTAAATACCTTAAATAAATTATTTAAAAAAAAAATTTATGTCAAGTAAGCATTAGTTTTATTTTGTTATTGTTAGTATTGAATACCTTAGTAATGTATAAAATATAATTAAACAGTATTTTACTGTATAGTATAAAAAAAATCATTTAAACTATTTTTTTTACTTTATCATTATCATAAAAATTTTATTTAAAAAAAATATTATTTTTCTCAATATTGATATTCAATTTAGCATAGTAAAATATATAATTAAATCATTATATGAAATTTTTATTTTTTTTATTTGTTAATGTAAATAAAATATTGTTGTTATTATTATTTTTTGTATTAATATTATAATATATTAATAATAATAAATTATTAATATAACAAAAAATGATTATAATAATGTATTATTTAAAAAAAAAAATTAATAATGAAATAAATCTAGAAAATAAATATATTCAAAATTATTTTTATTATTTTTTATAAGTAGTTTTTGTATTAATATTAACATACAGTATATTAATAATAAATTAGTACAGTATATAAAATAGTATAAAAACTTAATATAATATAATAATGAAATAATCCCAAAAAATAAATATTATACTGTATTATATTGAAATATCAAATAAATAAATGATGTTTATATACAAACAATTATCTTATTTTTTATTGCAATTGAATAACAACAACAAAAATTAATTATTTTAAGTACAATAAAATATATATTCAGTATATATATATATATATATATATATATATATATATATATTATAAGTTGATACTGATATTAATTTTACATTTAAGTTTTATTTCATTAATATCTCAAAATAATAATATTTGATGCATGAATTTTTATTAAAAATAATATTATACATTAAATTACTTAAAACAATTGAATGCTAAACATTATTATTATTTAAATAAAATAGTTAAAATAAAAATAATGTTTTCAATTACAAAATTATTTCACTTTATCTATCGTTTTCTTTGTCTGACTGGATGTCTGTATCAGATGTATGCCATCACTGATCTATACATGCGATACGAAACCACTACTGATGTCACATATAAACGCATATCAATTGACTCACTGCCGGCCATAACAATATGTTTTGATAAAAACTTATTCTGGAATACTTCGGGACTAGGGTTGCCAACTAAAATTATTGGAGGAGGAAATATGTTAAATAAAGTTAATGGCAACAACAACATGGTTACTATTGCTAATAATACTAATATAAATAAATCTAAAGTTACCAAACAATTTGCCAATATTAATGGATCGACAACACTATACAATGACAACTACAATCAAATTAAATATGGCAACACTACTACTACCACTACTAATACTAATAATAATCTAGCATGGACAGTTTATTTGAACTCATTGGATCTGGATGAACAATTGCTTAGACTGGATAATCTAGGAAATCATATAAATATTGCCTTAATTAGAAGTATGTTTACATCAAGTAATGGTACTGGCTATTTGGACAGTGATATTGATGGCATACGAAAGGGTAGTCTATCGATAAACGATTGTAACTATTGTATAACTTATTTGCATCAATGGCAAAATGAACCGGATCAATGGTTTGCAGTACGTCCAGGTCAGCAAACAATGGCCTGGCTTGAATTGACTAATAAACTAACTATTAATACAACACTGACCCTGATAGTACATCGACGCCGTAAACGTGTATACAATACACTATACGAACCAAAATCTGTATTGTTTTTAGATAAAGGTTCACAGTTTATACTAAATCATCGTAAGATTATCATAAAAAGGCCTGAATCATCATCATTGCAACAATGTTTACCTATGAATTCAAGTCTAGACGATTGTTTGGCCGAATGTCGTATTCGATCAATTGATATTAGCAAGCTCAAATCATTGTACTATGCTAATATTAGTTCAATTGGCTACTTAAAGCAGCCAGATAGTAAAATTAATGGCCTAGATGATAATAGTAATAATAATAATAATGGTTACTATCAGGGTAAATGTTTCAAACAGTGCTCCAAACTATTAGAGTGTATATCCTATACCTATATTGTATCGGTCGATACCCTGAATACAAAAAGTGATAGTCCTATGAAACATATACTTATTGCTCAGCCATCGGAAGCCGACATCATATATGATATCAAATATAAACTATCAATCGATGAATACCTGTGCCTAATGGCCAGTTGTATTAGTCTATGGTTTGGTCTGTCATTAGTTATGCTAACCGATTATTTTGCTAATTTAGTAAATTATTTGCACTATAATAATAATAAAAATATTATTAATATTTATAATGATAATAATAATTATCATAGATATCGTCAAAATAATTTAATGAATTATAATCAAAATAAAATTATTAAACTTTGTATTACAATTGGCAATATTTTTATTTGTAAAAAATCAAAATCTAATAATAATTTAATTAAGAGATATTAAGATATTAATTATATAAATGTTTTAAAGTTTATTATTTATCTATTTACTATTATTACTTATATTTTTTTAATATAAATTATATTATTTGTTATTTATATAGTTAATTTATTTAGATAAAACATAGTATATTTTGTGTATATATTGAAATATCTTATTAATTAAATAAATTAATTTACTGAATTATTTTATTAATTAATTATTTTTTGTATATTATGAATAAAAATAAATCTATTTATATAATATGTTTTTGTTACTAAATTACTACTATTATTACTATTATTATTATTATTATTATTATTAAATACTAAATTATTATTAAAACTACAGTATAATTAAAAACAACATTTTATATAAAATAAAATATAATAAATTTATTTTTTAAATTAATTATTTAATAATAATAATATTTTTAGTTATTTTGTTTATATTTATAATAAAATAAACTGTCAAAATTAATATATTGAAATCATAAATAAATAAATAATTAACTAAATTTATATGTTTATTGTAAATTATGTAATGTAAAAAATTATATATATTATATATATTAAATAAGTAATACAAGTATAATATTTCATTGAATACTTATATAAGTTATAATTATTACATGTTTAATGTTAATATTATTATTGATTGAATTATAAAACATTATATATAAATATATATATATTTTGTTAAATAAAACAAATTAATCGATAAAATATTTATTTTTAATAATTGTTTATTTATACTAAATAATAGTTTTATGTTTATATTGGTATATAAGTTAAAAAATAGATTATATACAATGGTTTAAAACTTGGACTTATTGGTCAATTCAAATACAAAATAAAATATTTTAATTAACTATAAATGTAAAAATATTATTGTTTTCATTATCTAGAAATATGTAGTAAACATCAGTATTAAAAAATTTATAAATATTTTAATGTAAATATTATTTATAATATTTTATATAACAAAAATATCATAATAATATAAATAATTAAAATATTTTATTACTAACAACATTTTATTACAAATTAAATATTTATCATTTAAAATGTTTATTAAATTTATTAATGTATATACATCTACATAAATAAATTAAATTATTAATATAATAGTAAAATTGTTGTCAATTTAAATTTATATTTACATTAATATATATTTGAAATAAATATTTTCTAAAAATGTTAAAATAACAGAATAACAGAATAAAACATAATATTTTAATATAAAATAATATAAATTATGAATTTACTTTTTTTTAAAAAAAACTAAATTTATAAATGTTTACTATTATACGGATTATATTTAAATATTTATTTTATAGTCTAGACTTAAAGTAATCAATTTTGTTATTTACAATTATTTTATGTATACAGTATATATAAAGAGAGTAAAATAATACTTAATTTTAAATATTATGTTTAAAAGTTATTTATTATTAGTCTAAACAAAATATATAATAAATAGATAAACAGTATACACATTATTCCAACCAAAATATGATTACAATAATAAAATTATTTCAATATATCTATCGTCTACTATGTCTTATGGGATGTCTGTATCAAATGTATATCATATCTGATCTATACATGCGATACGAAACTACCACTGATGTCATGTATAAACGTATTTCCAGCGATTCATTACCAGCTATTACCGTATGTTTTCGCAAAAATCTAATCTGGAATAAAACTAGCGATAAATTAATGGGAAAAAGTTTTACAAAAAAATCATATATAAATTCATATTTAAATAACTTAACTGTTCAGGAACAAATCAAATATGTGGATCAACCAGATAAGCATATTAATATTTATGCTAATGGTTTGATTACATTGAATGCTAAGTTGCGTAGCCAACTGGGACGGCCTGTCTATTCACTGTATAATAACGGTTATTGTATAACTATTTTTCATCAATGGAACAATGAACCGGATCATTTTTATGATATTAATTTACTACATCAACCAATGGCCTGGATCAAACTAGATAATGTAAATACATTGAATGCTACATTATTACTGTTGGTTCATAGACGCACCAGACGATTGTATACAATTGAAGACAATGCCGAATTGATGACCATTTTGGATACCAGTCTAGACGTACAGATAAAGCATAGAAAAATAGTGATAAAACGGCCCGAATTGCTGTACCAACCGGACAAGTGTTTACCGTTCAATCAAACAATTATTGATTGTCTTATTGAATGTCAAATTAAGATCGACAACAATATTTGGTTAACTAATACTAATTTGTTATATTATTCAGATTATAATGGAGTAAATGATAATAA